AGCTAAGAGATCAACACTTCACTGACAGGGCTATTTCAGGCTCCTGAAGGATCCTCCCTCGAGCAGCAGGACCTCACTGATTGCAGAGCAGTGGGGCCATCAGCACCTCTTTGCTTCTGAATGCATCTTCTCCAGGTATTTACTGAACCCTGATGCAGCAATGAATTTACAGGAGATCACATTCCTGCTTTAACCTAATTTTCCAGCCAAGATGACCAGACATAATGTTTTTTCTTTCTTGTAAGGGAAGAAATAATGTGCTGTACCTGTCTCTATATATCTAAGAGCTGGCCTTTAAGAAACTTTCCTAAAAATTTTAATATAATGGAAAGAGGTTTAGGAAATTAAATATTGCTTAGTCAGGTAGTATAGAGCAGGGGATGAAGGGCAGGAAAAAACCCAGCACACATTTCTGTACTTTCATCTCAGAGGGAAGCATAACAAAACTAACACATGCTGCATTACCAAGTGTCATTTTTTATCATCATTAAAACATATCCTTTTACCTTTCCAGAGACAGCTAAGCAGCTGTCAGGCATCTACTGCAAACCCTCCCTTTCCCAGTGCACCTGAGCTCTCCTGCTGTGCCCATCCTGCACGGTTTGCTCAGGTTTTCCTCCTCACTGAATGGTATTTGTAAAGCAAGTAAATGTTTCCATGGATGGCATGGTAAAATATTGCACTGGTGAATGAATCTCTGTGCGCACTGCTGAGCTCCATGGGACCCTAGATGAGCAGAAGACAGCAGTGAGGGAGGAATGACTGCAAGATAATATCCTGTAGAACTCACTAAGCTACCAGGCTGGTCTTAAGAGATTCAAGGCAAGCTCAGTTTAAAAGACAACTTCTGCAGAGCCAAACAACTGTTCCAAACACGTGGCACCTAAACTTATTACCACATTTCCAACTGATGAACACCCTGGAAGCATCATGAAACCATGGACTTACAACAATCTAAAGCCTCTTCATGCAAGTCAAACAGCACTGTGGTAGTTTGGTGCTCCCAAGCACCTCTTGTGCTCAGCAGGCCCAGAAGACAAACCACTCAGTTCCTGGCTGGAATTAAGGGAAGTTACTTAATAAATGCAGGAGGAGCACAAACAGATAAGGACACACAACCAACTGGACCTTGATGGATGCACATCCTGAATTTAGGAAAATGATGTGGCATAAACAGGAAAATGTAACCAAGTTTCCTATGTTCAAAGTGTTAATTTTAAAGCTGTTCCAAAAACGTGTTGCAATGACACTGGATTATTTCATGCTCTCAGACTCATCTAAGTTTTTTCTGCAAAAGCTCTCACACAAAGACAGTGAAGTCTCAGAAGGAGAGAGTGACTGCCAAAGGGAAGCACTGTTCCACATGAAGAATTTTCCTATTTCTAGTATCCATAAAACCTCCATATGAAACCTTGGTTCATAAAAGTTAATGAGCTTGATCACAAGTCCTGCCCTGGCTCTGGAGATTGATGTGTATGCATGACACAACACACCAGGGTGTAGGGGTAGCTGTCCCCAGTCTCAGCACAGCCCCATGGACTCAGCATCCCAGCACAGTGGAATCCCCTCACTTCACCTGCAGCAAGCTGTGTCACATCTATCAACTTGTGACTTACAATCCTCTCTTTTTATGCAGAATGCTTACAATGTGGGCAAGGAGCTCATGTGTGCTGCCTTATAAATATGCTTCAACCCTTTTGTGAAAAGATTCAGTCCAGGATGAAGAGTTGGTGCTCTGGAATATCAAGTCCTTGGCTTTTCTGTTGAAACTGCAACCAAGGCCCCTTTGGTAACAGTTATTTGCTTCCATAGACACTTGTCCACCTGGTCCCCTCCTGAAAATCCCATCTCACACTGGCAACCACATGAATCTAAGCTAGCAATCTGGGGACTGAAGTCTTGGCACTGCCCCAGTCCTGCCACCACTTCTACCTCAGTTTTCAGCTTTTGTTTAAAATGTGCTCAGGACAAACAAAGCTGCTTCACTCCCACCCTGAGTATCAGAGCCTCTCAGCCCTCAGGTGCTCTGCCAGACTGAAATGCTAATGAGGCAACATTCAGATTAATAATTAGATATGAAACAAAGGTGTTTGTTTTCCCTAGAGAGAAACCATACTGGAAAACAGGGGACCACAGAGCAGCTGGAATGAAGAGAACCAGAGACCATTAACTGGCTGATAACAAATGCTCCTGTTCTCTGGGTTCATTTCTCTACTGAAATGAGCCAAAAGCCACCCCAACAAAGAGTTTCCCCAGGTCAGGCTTAGCCTGTGATTCCCAGCCCAGGCATGCCCAGTCTAACAGTCAGACTCTGCAGCCCTGGGCAGAAAAGAACACTAAGCCGGACAAACAAAGGAAAAAAGAAATTGAGACAGTTATAATATTTTATCCATTTGCATCTCATCTGTTCCACAGTGGAACACCGCCTTAGCCTGACATGAGCAGGGTACAAGAAGCTTCCTTTTGGATGCAGCAGAAAAGGCAGCATTGGAGTCAAAAGCTCCAGTTGTGTTTGTACAGCTGGCATTATCTCCTAACCTTCTTGTGTTTCAGCTCAGAGCAGAGGCAGAGCCTGCCTGCCAGGAGGGGACAGGAAGGATCACCTTCTCTCATCCCAGCTGCCTGGAATGAGGCAGGACATGCAGATGATGCCAGATCATCCCAGGCTGAGGCGCAGATCTTGCTGCAGCAGCAGGACACGAGGATGATGTTACTTCATGGCTCTGTGACTCCACCTGATGCCAGAGGCAGGGCAGCAGGAAGCTGCACACCACCACAGGAAAAAAAAAAAAACCTGGAACATTTTCAGTCAGAAATTCTCCATCTTCCCGTGGCTGGGAAGTTGGCTGTGCTGCTGAGTCGTTCCCTTAGGGGGGTACAGCATGGCACATCCTCAAGGCTGGCATTAGCCACAGCTTTGCCACGATCACAGAACCCCCTCGGGCATGGCACATCCTCAAGGCTGGCATCAGCCGCGGCTTCGCCACGAACACAGAAACCCCTCGGGCATGGCACATCCTCAAGGCTGGCATCAGCCGCGGCTTCGCCACGAACACAGAAACCCCTCGGGCATGGCACATCCTCAAGGCTGGCATCAGCCACGGCTTTGCCACGAGCACAGAAACCCCCCGGGAGGGCAGGGCAGAGCCGGGAGCTGCAGCAGCCCTGCCCGCCCGGCCCTACGGCTCCGCTCCCTGCGATGGGAGGGGCGATCCAGCCACACCACAGCGATCCCTGTAGCAGTGACCTGGCAGAAAAGCATCCTCCTAAATCCGACGGCAGCACTCAAGCCTTGAAAAATGTGTGCCCCGCTGCAATCAGGCTCGCTGCAATGCCTCTCATAGTGAGTAAGGCCTTTGTAACTCTTCCCTGTAGCCCCTTGGCCAAGGACACATCACCTCTCCCTTAACTTCCTCAATTAAAAAATATCCCCAGAAAACAAGCAGTCAGGAAGCATTCCAGGCTATACAACCCAAAATATCCTTCCTACTAGAGACATTTTCACACACAAACTGAACTGGGTGAGTCAGCTCTCCTCAGAGAAATATTGCAAGGAAGGGATGTGGGTGTTCCTTCTTGTGTCTCACTGGCTACAACAAAAGATATTGACAAATTGTGGGAGTTCAGAGGAGGAGCAAAATCGGTAAGGGGACAGAAGGGATTGAGCTAAATTGAGAATGGATGAAAACATCTTTCGGCCAGTAACTTGGATAACAGACCATGACAGCATGTACATGTTTGAATTTTATATAAAAATACCAAGAAAGAAGGAGTAATCTTGTTTATGGAAGGATAGCTCCAAGGGTAACAGGTTATGCAGTCTGAGGTATTTGGGGTAATAACCATCTTCTGCTGTTTGCCCAGTACCTGACTACTTGGAACTTCACTTGCTGCCATAATCAAACAAATAACTATTAAAAAAAGGAGAAGAAAATCTAGGCAACAGGCTATGAGGTGCAGCATGGCCTCCCAGGGACAGCAGCAGGAGCTCCTGTGTGCAGAATATATAAAAAACACTTACAGTTACGATTGATTTGTTCAGGAATCACATGCCTGTGTTCTGTAGAGCCAGAGCCCAAATGCCATGGGACAGACACACAGGCAGGGGACACTCAGCAGGGGCTGGGCATCAACACCAACGGGGGATTGTCCCCTCTAACCTTTAAGGCACCTTAGCCTGACAAAGGGGTTTGATATATTCTAGCCTGTACGGAATGGATGTCCACAACTACCCTGAAACTGCAGCCAAGCATAAAGCAGGATTTGTCTGCTTGAACATCACAGTTGTGTAACACAAGAATAAATTAATTCATCTGGGAACCCCCACAATTCTGAACCTCACGAACAGCACTCAGGCTGTACACTCGACGGGCCACAACCCAGGCAAGGGAAGAGACGGGAGGGACAGACACGAACCAGGACCCTTTATGGACAAGAAAAAGCAGCAGCCTCGCAGGGGCCGAGCCGCAGAGCTGCCCGGTGGCCCCGGTCCCGCGGGGAGCTGCCACCGGCCCCGGCCGCGCCCCACACCGGGCGCACCGCCGGGAGGGGAGGCCCCGGCTCTCCCCCCGGCACGGCGCATCCCCGGGTGCCGAGACCCCGTGCCCGGTGTGCCGAAACTCCCCCGTGCCCGGGGGGCTGTGCCAGCCCGTCCTCAGGGCGCTGTCACCCCCCGGCCTCCCCGGGACGGCCCCGGCGCTCCCGCCCGGCTGAGGGGGGTGGCGGGGTCGGGCGAGCGGAGGCTGCAGGGAGGCGCTGGGAAGGGGCTGAGGGGCCGGGGGGCAGCGGGGCCGGGGTCGGAGGGGCCGGGCAGTGCCCGCACGCCCGCGGTACTCACTCAGCCACGACTCCAGGCTCTCCCCCTCAGCCTCCGCCATGTTGCCGGAGCGACCCGGGGCCCCGCCCCGCCCGCGCGAGAGCCGCGCGAGGGGGCGGAGCCAGCGGTGACTCCGCCCCTATCCACCGTGGTCCCGCCCCGCGCGGCGGCGCGCGCAGGGAAGATGGCGGCGCCCAGCGCGGCGGGGCTGGGCCGGCGGCTGCGGGCGTGGCTGCCCCGGTGAGCGGGGACAGGGACGGGGACAGGGGCTGCTCCCCACCGCGGGAACACGGGCAGCGCGGCAGGAGGCTGCGGGCGGCTCGCCGGCAGCGCACCGGGGGTGAGGGGAGGGTGTGCGCCGCGCCGGCAGCACGCGGGCAGGCCGCCCGCCTGTTTTGCCGGGTCACACGGGCATAGAACTGGCAAGGCTGGAAGGTTGGAACTTTAAGGTCATCCAGTGCAGGCAGCATTGCCATTCTGATCCCTAATGGCATCACCATTAGGGATCACCTAATCCAGGGTGATCACCCAGCGCCAGGGGCAGACGCCTCCTGAGCAGCTCCAGGGACGGTGACGGCCCCGGCCCTGCGCGGCCTTTCCAGTGCCTGGCCACAGGAACGGTGACAAAGGGACAGAACCCGCACCGAGCTGCCCGCCCCACTGCCACGGGATGCCTCTCACATCCAGCACTCCTTCTGAGGCGTGTTCACATCTGTCCACATCTGCCCGCATCCCTGTCCCCACAGCGCGTGCCCTGGGTCACAGCCCCGCCTCTCTTGCTCCTTGCAGGATAATGCCCGTGAGATGGAGCCGCTACAACCCCAGCTACCTGGAGCCAGAAGTGAAAAAGGAATCGCATGAGAAACCTTTAGAGGAGCTGACGGAGGAGGAAAGGGAACAAATGGAGCTTAAGGCTGTTCGACCCATCAAAGCTGCTCCTCCCAGTCTGTCCAGTTCCGTGTTCAGCGACCCCATGATCAGGTCAGAGAAAGCAGCAGCTCCTCCTCTCTCCAAAAATGCCTGGGAGCTGTGCTGCCCTCTTCTACCTCCACCTGCTGGCTTCACATTGCCTTTTGTTACAGCACAATCCCTGTATTCTGGGTTACTCTTATCCCATCAACGAGTCCATTGTTCTGCTGTGATTAGAGATAATTGCAGCAGATCTGGCAGCACCCACACTTAACCATGGGAACAACACAGAGGGATGGGGGTGGGGGGCTTATTTCTGTGGGTGATAAAATCAGAATTCATATGGATCCTGTCTGATTTTGTGTTTATAGTAAATTCACCAATATGATGATGAAGAGTGGAAATAAAGTGCTGGCCAGAAACCTCATGTCTCAGGTAAGAACTCAGGTTTCTTCTAACTATTATATTGAAACTAGACAAAATAGAAGGCTGGGACATCAAACCCACTGGAATTAGGAATTACCAGAACTCGGGTGGTCCATCTCTGTGGTCCTGATGTGTTTTGCTCTGCCACACGTTGCTTGCAGCATGATTCCAAAATGTCCAATGGATAAATAATGGTTTGATAAAATGTCCATTGCCCCAGCCTCCTTGGCTCACAGACCAGCAGGGGACAGCTTCATGGAGAACCTTCTGTTTCCATCCTTCATTATCCCTGTGTTCTTTTGTACTGCATCAACACAGGGAATACCCTTAAAAGCATAATTTTCTCTAAAGATCTTTGCAGCTCTCTGTCATGCCTTGCCCTCTGTATAACTTGCCCTTGAAGTCCCACAGATGTGTCACCTGCAATGGCACAGCTTTGAGCCTGCTCTGACCCACAGCCCCGGCTATTAACTGCTGTTCTCATCTGGTTTCTTCCACCCCTGAACTCCCTTGAAATGGAAACATTTTGCCCAAATGTTTCCAATTAAGTGCTGATTCCTGGTTACAGAAAAGCACACGGGAGGCTGAGGGAGGATGCTCAGTGCACAGACCCCTCCCCACTCCTGGCTCCGCTTTGTCCCTGCCCTTTCCTGGCTCCTGGCCCAGGTTTGTGCTGCTCATCCCCCTCACCCAAAACGCAGTGACTGATAAAAGAGACTGAGGAGCTGGAAGAGGGTGAAGTAAAACTTGAGTTAAAGAATTCCCAGTGGGTCTTTTGCCTCTGGGGCTGGTGGACCAGCTGCTCAGGTGAAAATGGGGTGCCCATAAAAGTGATGTAACCTCGTGGAGTGGCAGAATCCATCTACCTTGTATGTCTTGTTTCTTGCCTTTCTTCCAAGACTCTGGAGGCCATTAAAAGGAAGCAGCTGGAGAAGTACCACAAAGCTCCAGAAAATGAGAAGGAGACAATTGAATGCAACCCCTACGTCATTTTCCACCAGGCTCTCAAGAACTGCCAGCCCATCATCGGGCTCAGCAACATCACCAGAGGAGGCAAAACCTACCAGGTGAAAGGGGGCTGGGAGCACATCTGGTTGTGAGGCAGTTAGCTAGGGAGGCAAATGAACTGGTTTCCACCCCAGCAGCTCAAGATTATCTCTCCTTGGAAAGAGCCACTTTGCAATCTGGAATAAAACAGCACCTAGAAACTGTCCAAAATCAGGATCCCCACCTCTGAGTATTGTGCTTCCCCTGTGACAGAATCACTAAGGTTGGAAAAGACTTCTAAGATCAATCAAATCCAACTGTTAATTGGCAGCAGTCTCTGGTTCTCTGACTAGATGTGAGGAGAAATACACAGCAACTATTTTCCAAAGAGACAGAGATCAGCAGCAAAAGAATTAGTAGTCTTTGGACTACCAGTCCCATCCTTTCCACTGCACCACATTGCTTGGGGGGAGGTCCCAAACCCCTGGGGCAGGTCAGCATGGCAAAATGGGTCACCTAGATCCAGTGGGATACTTAAAACATGAGCAGAATCTGTCTCTGAGTATGGGCTCTGCAACCCTTGGGGCCTGAAGGAGAGGTGAGATGTGGGGGCATTTGCATCTTTAAGGTCCCTTCCAACCCAAACCACGCTGTGATTCTGTGACTTCTCTGTATTCAGTGCAGAAATGGGGTGACCATTTCCCATCTCTGCTGACTCAAACCAGCCTGGACCCAGCTCCCAGACAGGCCAGAGTTTCCATTTCGGTAGCAGTGGCCAGTTCCTATGGACAGAGCAGGAGAACTGGCAGGGCTCAGCTGTGGGGAGCAGGTGTGGCTGCACAGAGCAGCACAGTGAGCACCTGCAGGGGCAGCTGGTGCAGTGTGGCTGCTGGGGAGGGGCAGGTGCTGACTCCTGCCACGTTTAACCCTTTCCCAGGTGCCCGTCCCGCTGACGGACAATCGGAAGCGCTTCCTGGCCATGAAGTGGCTGATCACAGAGTGCAGGGAGAACAAGCACCGCCGGACACTGATGCCAGAAAAGCTCTCCCAGGAGCTGCTCCAGGCCTTCAACAACGAGGGGCCCGTCATCAAGAGGAAGCACGTCCTGCACAAGATGGCAGAGGCCAACCGGGCGTACGCTCACTTCCGCTGGTGGTAGGGACCCTGCGTGGGACACGCTGCCATGGCCTGGAGAGCAGAGCCCCAGGCTGCCAGCCTGGGACAGGGCAAGGGGGAACATCCCTTGCAGCAGCTTCTGTTCTAACCCAGGGAAAGCTCACACGATCCCCACGAGGTTCTTTTTCTTTGTGCTTGTTTGGATGGGGGAAGGGGGAGCCTGAGTTACCAGCCTCAGTGGGGCTGCTCCAGTTAGTTCATCAGCACTTCCCTGTGAAGACAAGCCTTAGATGTTTTTCTTACAGCAACGCCACACAAAACCTGTTTCCTGGGGATCTGAAATCTGAAAGTCTCTCTGCTCTTCAAATCAGCAATGTTTTTGGCTGCAGAGCTGAGAGCAGAGCTGGATCCTTTTCCACAGGGATTGGTACAACAGGCAATAAAAGGCCCTTTTTGGTTTTGGCCATCAGCAACATGGTCTGCACAGATTTGATGGGAATGTGGACAAAATAAAACCAGTTTTATGGGAAAGGTTTCCTGATTCCAGACTTTTGTCTTTGTTTCTCCAGGTCCTTTGGTTGTGTAAAGCCCTGAGGCCCTAGACTGTAGCAAACAAAGTTATCTCAGCCTTAGGGCTTCAGTCAGGAGCAACCCTTCAGTGTTGCTCAGAGCTCAGCAGCTGTGCAGGGAGAAAGCAGGGCATATGTTAGTGGAAAACTTTTATTAGAAAAAAATCCTTCAATAGGCTATTTTGTTTCATGTCTTCCTCTCCCACTCTTATAAGAAATATACTGTAGCTGAAACTTGCAAATTCTGGAAAAAAGTGACAGTTATTGTATAAAATCTATAAAACCTGTTCCTACATGTGCTCAGGGACCTCTTCTGTTGCAGGCTGCCTTGTGGCAGGTATTCCTGGCTGTGGAAGAGGCTGTGTGCATGCAGGTGCAGCCAGCCTGCTGGAAGGAGTCTGGGAACAAAAGCACTTGGTTGAGCTGTTTGTGAGGTCATGGTGTGATCTGTGACCCATCCCAGAGAACCAGGTACAACCTGAGCTGGGAGATTTCCCTGCTGCCTCCCACAGCTCTGCTGGCTTTGGGGTGAACCAAAATGGTCTCAGCCTAAACTGTGCTTTCTTTAACACTCATAGAAAATGCTGGTGTGAACTACAAGCCTCCCTAGCCCTTTGCTGACAGCAGCCCAATATTAAGACAAAATCAGGGGGAGAACTTGCTGGGTAAAGTGCCCTTCCCACTGCTCTGAACCTCCAAAGTCAGACCAGCACCAGCTGCATCTGACAGTAGGTGCAGAGAGGCTCTAGCCAGTATAAATGCTATTTACAGGGAGTGCTAGAAAATTAATGTGAAAAATTCCAAACTGGTACAAAGCTTGCTGGTGAGGTGCTGGGGACTCCTCTGCCTCGGGAGGTTAATCTGTCACCTCACTGTAATAATATTTCTGGGCAGCGTCCGTCATCTTCCACTCAGCAGCCCGGAACTCGATGATCTCCAGGAGCAGGAGCTGGGACAGGGAGCTGAGCCCCTCCTGCAGGAGGAAACCATCTCGGAGCAGGGAGAAGAGCTCGTCCATCCGCTGGGAATTCATCTTCTCCAGCTGCTCGCCGATGCGGTGCAGCTGCAGGACCAAGCAGTCCACCTTCAGGAGGAAGAGCAGATGGCTGAGCACAAAGCAGTGGAGGCTCCTCTGCACCCCCCGGGCTGTGCTTTTAACAGCTCCTTGGCAGGACAACAGGCACATGAGCAGCTCTCCCTGCACTCACCTCCTCCTCCTTCTGCAGGCTGTCGGGCTGTGCCAGCCGGAACAGGCAGTCGTACACGGGGTTCACCAGAGCCATCATGGGCATGTTGTTCACCTGCAAGGAGGGTGGGGCATTGTCAGCCTGGGGACAGAAGTGAGTCTGCAGCTATTTTAAATAGTTATTCCCTTGCTGCTCTGCAAAGGAGAAGGAAGCAGGGTTTAGTTGTGCTGTGTTAGTGGGATTTTCATCAGAGATCAGACATTTGAGTCTCTGGGAACCAGAGGAGCTGAACAAATGATGTAAAAACCATCTATTTTTAAATGTAAGCAGGTAGTCATGGGAAATACACTTGTTCCAACAGTATTTTTCCTGCCTGCAGCTCTACTTGCATCATTTTTACATCTCCAAGCAGGAATTCAAAGTTCACACACTGCACAAAGGCCTGAAGCCAAACTCCATCAGCAAACCCCACAGCAACTGAACCAGTCCAGTCTGGGACATCTGGGATCAGGCAAATCAGGGGATTTCAAACGCCAGGTACAAAATGAGGAAGCTGTGACTGTTCCTGAAGACTTCCTCTGCCTCTCCAAGCCTGTAGATAGCACCAGCTCTGTCAGCATCCTTGTGTTAGAACCAGCTCTGGCCCCCATGGCCCTGGGGCTCTGTACAACACCCACCCACCACCCCTGCTCTGTTATCCTGGGATGCTCAGGCCCTCCTGGCACTCCAGGCAGCAGCAGCTGGCTGCTGCACCTCCTTACCCTCAGGTAGTCAAAGATGTTGCAGATGAAGGTGACGTAGCAGATCCAGGCCTGGAGCGAGCGGGTGCGCAGCTCCTCCCTGTCCTTGTACTCCTGCTGCAGCCGGTTCAGCAGGCTCCTCCGGAAGATGCTCTGGCCAACTTGTTTGCTCTCTGCCTATAAGCCCACAGAAACAGGATGGAGGGATGAAACAGGGATGCCAGAGGGGCAGGGGAATGCAGTACCACACAGAGACCCTTCTGTGATTCCCAAAGAGGCAGAAAAGCTGCAACTCACTGCCTGTGCTGGCCCACTGCTCTTCTGGATGCTGCCACTGCATGGGGCAAGTGGCAGGACAGGAGAGATGGGCAAGGGGTCAGAGCATGTGACTGGGGCAAAGCCCTTCCTGGCCCAGCCCAGGGACAAGCCACACAACATCCCAGGTGTTTCACTGTCCAGACACGAGCTCTCACCTGGATGATGGTGTAGCAGATGCGTCCAGCCTCCTTGCTGAACACAGAGTCTTTGAGGGACTGGTCCACTATAATATTGGCCACTTTCTCCAGGTCCACATTACTGGGGTCTGCAGAGAAGAGGAATGCTGTTAGGACCCAGCCCTCTTTGGCCCCTGATTGCTTTGAGGCAGCAGATCAAAGCAAGCTCTGGAAAGCAACCAAGGTCTGTGCAGGGCCCAGTAGAGTCACATTAAATGGTGCAGAAGCCGTGCTGACCTTTGAGGGCTGTTTTCAGCAGCTTCTGAGTCTCGGAGTCGAAGGACTGTATTTTGTACTCTTCTTTGCCCGTTTCCCCCATGACTGGTTTCCTCCAAGGGCAAGAGTCAGGGCAATGGATGAGCTAGTGACAGTCCCTGGGGAAGGAGCACACAGAGCTTAGCTGGACAGAGGCAGACCTTCAAGCATTTCCCATTCAGCACATCCCAGGTAATGTTGAAGCACAGGCTGTTTCCTGACAGCTCCCCACCCCAAAGAAACTCCTCTTTTATTAGGGCACCAACTCTAGATCTGTGCAAATCCTCATTCCCACATTTTTTAAAGCATTGTCTCCTACCAGCTGATAATAGAACTTAAGAGCCTTTATATTTTTCTGATATGAGAAACATGTTACAGGCAAAGCAGACCCAAAATATATGTGGTTGTATCACAGGAAGGCACACACTGCTCCCTTGGGCCCTTTAAACACCAATTCAGCAGCTTTCATACAAAAATCTGGGAAGAATCAAAGCCAGTACAAAAGCATCCAACACACACTCACTAGAGCACCTCTCCTGCACCACAGCCAGGCTTCCTCAGCTCCCAGCTCGACACAGCAAACTCAGCAGCCAAATCCCCAAGAGCAACAGCTCCCATCTCTCTCATCCCCCTGCAGTTAAGCACTGCTCTGCAGCACCAGCAGTGTCTCTAGATTGATTTTCTTCTGCTTCATGATACAGTGAAGACAGCAAGAGGGTACACACGGCACAGAGAGGAAGGGCTTGCTTTGATTCACTCAGGAGCTGATGGATGGAAATGCAGGGCTGGCCAGACCGGCAGTACAAACAGGAGAAGGCAATCGGCCAAATGAGTTTTGCCAGCTCGTCGAAATTCCTCGGCCATTACTCACCCCTCTCTGCAAACAGATCCCTACCCAGATCAAAGCCCAAGAGCCTTTAGGGGCATGGGACAGGTACCGTGGGCAGTCCCCTCACATACAGCACAACACTAACTCAGAGCAGAGAGCAGCCCCATGGGGGGGACCGCCTGCCCACGCTGCTCTCGCAGCCAAAGCTCTCGCCTACCCTGGGACTGGCACTGGGGATTCTTTCCCTGGTGGATTCACAAGCAGCTGGGTGCCCCCCGTGCCATGCCTGGTTGGCAAACACCTTCCTAGCCGACCTCTCCTCTCTCTGTATCAGCACTGATGCCATGCTGCACTGCCAGTGGAGCAGCCCGAGATCGCCAGCAGCCCCGTGTCCCACCGGCAGCATCTCCAGGCAGCCGGACCCTGGCGAGAGCACAGCGCCGCACGCAGCGCAGCGAGAAGCGCCCGAGCCCGTCCGGCAGCGTCTGTGCCGCGCCCGGCCCCTCTCTCGGAGCTCCCGTTCCTCGGCTCCCTGCGATGGGCACGGCTGCTTTGAGCTGCTGAGCCAAATAACCCTGCCAGAGCAAACCACGGCGTGTGAACACCGAGCCGGCCAGGTCTCGCCTGCACTAGAGACCCTCCTGCCAGCACCACCTTATCGGAAGAGCTGGTGGCAGTGGGTGACATGGGGCACCTGTGGGTACCGACTGCTCCTCTGCCACTGGCCCCGGCTAGACGAGCCGTACCGAGGGCTGACTCAGTTGGGGTCAGCACCCTCAATCTGCTGCTGATCCACCAGCTCAGGTGGATCACACAGGCACCTGTGACCTGTAGGGTCACACCTGGCAGTATGGGCTGGACAAGTCCTGGCCACTGTAAGGAGAGGGAGAAGAGCAGAGAGTCTCCTCTGTCACCCCATAGCGTGAATATGAGGTTCTACCAGCCCTCGGAACCCCCATCCCATCCCCGCCGAGCCGCAAGTGGAACCCCCAGCGTTGAGACGCCTCTTGCCCGGGGCAGCTGGACCAGCGGAGCCCCAGGACCCCCCGCCGCTCCCGTCGCTCCAGCCCCGCAGCTGGCACAAGCCCAAGGGCCACGGACGGAGGAAGAGGCGGGTCCCGGGGAAAGCAGCCCCCGCGCTGCCCCGGGCAGGGCAGGGGAGCCGGGCGCAGCCCCACCGACCTGCCGGCCGCCCCCGCTGTGTCCTCCGGCCGCCGGGACATCGCCGGCACCTCCCGCGCCCTCCCGGCACGGCCCAGGTTTCCTCTTAGGTCATTTCCTCGCCCGAGCCGGGGGAGGGCCGGGCCGGGCCGGGCGGGAGAGCGGCGGCAGCTGCGGCAGCGCCACCGCCTGCGAGCGTCGGGGCACGGCGGGCTGAGCGCCGCGTACGGCCGGCGGCTCCTCGGGAAACACCGGGCTGCCCCAGGCACGGCCACTGCTCCTCGGGGCACCGCCGGGCTCCTCCAGGCACGGCCATTGCTCCTCGGGAAACACCGGGCTGCCCCAGGCACGGCCGGCTGCCCCCGACACCCTCCCGGGCACGGCCGCTGCTTTTCCGACTGCCCCGCCGGGGGATCGCGGGCAGCACTCACCCCTCTGCCCCGGTCCCCCGCGGGGCTGTCCCGGCGCTCTGCAGGTGACAACGGCGTGAATTCCGCCCTTCCCTCCGGGCCAGGGCAGGCCAATGGTATAAAAAAATGAGTAGGAAAAAAGTCGGGAAAGAAGACAGTGAGTAAACCAACGCACTGCAACAACAGCTGAGTGTGGTATAACCACACTTCACGTTTTTTTCTCTCAAATCTCAACGATTTCATAAGGGAAGACCCCACAGGGGGTGAAGTCTTCACCACAGAGCAGACAGGCTGCTAAACCAGGGAATGGCTGAGAGAGACAGAATGAACAGTTTAGGAATATTTTCTGTAGCACTGCATGGCCTGGCTGGATACAAACAAAGCCTGAACTGTTCCACCGGGGGTGTGACGCTCAGGACTGGCTACCACAGCTCCAAATGCCCCTCTAGGACACAGCAGTGGGACTGGGCTGCAAAAATCCCCCTTGGCTGATCCCTTTTGGTGCAGTTCTCAATGATGATACCCAGCAGAGAGGGTACAGTTCTGCCTACGGCTGAGGAGCACCCACAAGCCAGTGATGGGAAATTCAAATGGCTCCTGTTGCCCTATGGGCTGGGCCCTGACTATTCTCCTTTTTAGGCAGCAGGAGGGCCACGATGTTCCTGCAGGGTCCAGCAGAGGCACAAAGAGGAAAGGAATAAATCAACTGCAGCCAGCCACTGCATAACAAAATATTTAATGTACCTTGTCTTAAAGGTAGGCACACACTATGCATGTTGTGTGCCAAATGATTTCAGGAAAGAGCAGCTGCAAAAGACCCACTCTGGCAACACAGCAAAATGCCACTGTTACAGTTTCTACATCACAAGAGAAACTTAAATACAAATTAAACACCACCTATTCCAGTCCCGACTGTAAAACATTAATTTCTTGTCAAAAATGATGCTGTGCAGCTCTGGATGAGTATCCTGAGAGTGGGGCTGTCCTAGGAACTTGGTGAGGCAGCCAGCACTGCAGGAATCAGCATGTTCCTCACAGATTTTGTGTGTCCAAGGCTGGCTCAGTGTGTGGTGGAGCTGCAAATGGCTGGGGCACAATTCTCATGGTAAAAGGCACAAGAAGAAAACAAATGCAACTGCTGAGCAGCTTGTGAGGTGAACTGCAGGCAAATCCCTGGTGATAGGATTAGCTTGGAAAGAAATCCCAAGGGCCAAAATCAGCCAGGTCTCAGAGTGAGGCATTTGCCATGTTGAGTCACTTCACACTGAACGGGAGCAGCAGCTTCCAAGAGCATTTCTGTCCCAGTACCTCAAAGAACACGGTGACCACAGATCTCTCTCATCTCCTGCTCCTCTAATTCTAGAGATTTAGCTCATAACAGCATGTGTTTTGCCAGAGCAGCTTGAGAAATAAGATCTGTCCTCCTAGTGCTTCATTCAGCCTCAATCCCACAGAGAAATCAACACTCATACAGTGCTTTCCCCAGCAAAGTGCACTTGAGAACTCTATGAGGACAGATGCTGCTGATCAGAGGTGAAGAAGTGATTGGTGGATGCAGCTCCTAATATTGTTGAGGTTGTCACATCTTTCTCCCTCTCACTGGCAGCTCAGATGCCTTTATGGGCCTGTAACACTTGTGACTCACAGCCTAAAGGCCTCCAACCAGGGAGTGTCTCTTCCACAGCCTGGGCCAGACAGGCACAACTTAAACTCCAGCTTTGCCATCTGCTGGGTGGAGGCAAGCTCAGTTAATGCCCAGTGGAGGAAAAAAAGACCCCAGAGAAGAAAAGCTGCTCCATACTCTCCAGTGCTGCCCTCTCTGTGGAGCAGCCAAACTGCCCATACCAGCATCCCCTCAAGCTCCACAGCACCCTCGAGGAACGTCACCTTAACAGAGTACAGATCTTCCTGCTCTTGCCTGCTGCTGAGTTCCCAACTAGTTTCCCCCTATTTTGTGCAGTTTGACAGCAGCTATTTGACAGAAAATGGAAAACAAGTCTTGCACTGTTTAGACAGGATGGATGAGTCCCCATTTCCTAAGGAAGCCTAGGTCAGCACTGAATATTTTCTGCTCTGGCCTGTCCCTGCTAACCATGACGGCATTCCTCTCACCAGCAACAAAGACAGTAACAAAGCCAACCTGTATCTGTTTTGAAGAGAGACATTTCTCTCCCTCAGAAAGATGTCATGAGGCTGAGTTCATTAGTCTTTATCATGTCTTTCCAAGAACAACAGGTGAACAATAAACAAGGGCTAAACATCGTTAAGAATATTCTGAGGAATCTCAGAAGAGCCTAAATAACACAGGAAAACGACAATAGGATTGAGGCACTTGGAGAAACTCCACATTTCCTGCATTTTCTGCTTAAACTAAATGGCCATTTTTAAAGTATATGCAGCTCTCTCTCCCTCTTTAAGACTCACATATGGGCCTCCTGCCTGACACTGACACTGGTGAATGAACTTAATTTTACACAGCTCTGTCACCTTTGTACTCCAAGATCTCAAACCCATAGCAGACACAAAGTTATTCAGCCTGGGCTTGCAAGGAATTTCTTCAGATACCTCAGCCACCAGTGAAACAGCTGTTTTTTAAAAACAGCCTCTCACAATAGCTCAGGATAAGTGAGCAATGCTGATATGCTCAAAATTGCCAGGAGAAGTTTCGTCAACGGAATGGAATTGGTCACGCTGGAATCTGGCCAGACCATTTGGGATTAACACCCTGAATACTGCAAAAGAGCTGGGAAAGGCTTTGTGTTAAAAACCATGAAACCATCCTCCAAATAACTGCAGTGCTCTGCCTTATCCACCCCTTGCAGATGACTAACGTGCTTTTGTATGGCAGGGCTGGGAACTCTGCCTTCCACACAGTCCAGCCACACCCTGCTAGGCTTGAAAAAACACAGAATAAAAGAGGAGGAAGAAAGTAATTTTCCTTTTTTCCACTGTTACATAAATCAGAGTTGTCGGTAGGTTTTGTTGGTTTTTTTAACCACTCAAAAAACCTTTGAAACTCCAGAAAAACACTTTTCCATCTCTAATTCAGTCATCCATGTGAAACACCACGCTCAGCCAACCAATTCCCATTTGATGTTCATTCCTTTCACTTCAGCAAATCTTGTCAAAACATTTTCATCTGCTAGCACCAGTGCAGGAATGAGGTTCTGAAACATTTTGAGACCATTACAGAAATACAGAAACACATTCAGAGGTGCTGTTAAATAAATAATGATAAAAAATTACTAGTTTCCACAGGACTTTCCCTTCATTATTCCAGCTTAGAATAATTATTTCTTAACTCTGTACAGCATTTGTTTACTCACTGCTTTGAAGTGAAGCACCCTGAAGTAAAAATTTAGTTTGTGCGTCGAATCCCCTCAGAATGGGGCTCTTAATATGCAAGTTTGCTTGTAATAAGTGTGAGTGAGGCATTGAAATCCCTAAGAGATGTATGGCCAGACACCCAGGAAGAGAAAAGGGAATTCAGCATACAATCAAGTTCACTGGAGTTAAAGGAGAAACAAGTCTGATCCAGCATGATCAGAGAAGATGCTGTGTTTAAGATGACAGAGAATGCTCAGCTAGCAAGTGGTGACCAAGAAGCAGCAGCTGGCAGCAAAGGAAAGGAAAACTGAGGGTCTGTGCATTTATGTGGCTTTACCTGACTTTACACCAGCAGGACAGAGTGACCTGTGCAACATTGAGACAAGAGTCTGGTGCAAACAGCAGGCACAGAGCAAAGGAACAAAGCTGTGCAGAGCAAAGGAACAAAGCTGTGCAGATGCAGGGCTAGGAAGTGATGTCTGGTTGGTTACGCAGCACTAGGCTGGGCCAGAACCCCCTCTCTGGGATCCAGGGCGAGCTCAGGGATTCACCCACTTTATTGGGTGCCTTTCCAGAGCACAGGAGTTGCTAGGGAGTGGTCTGTTTGCTCCCCCTCTCACCACTAAATGTGCTCTGATATGAGAGGAGACAGAAGGAAAGTGCTCTGTTGAACAGCTCCCAGCCAAGTAGTTCAGTGTCTCCAGCAGAACTGCAGTTGCCTTCTCCTTCTGCTTGGTCCCAGGAGGTGATTCCCCACAGGCTGGGGGAGCTCTGGGAGCCCTGACATTTCCAACATGCTCGTGACAGAGCAAGGCCATCAGTGTCCCCTCCTGAGGAGAACAGCAGGCAGCCACACACGTCCCTTTCAGCCTTCCTTGCTCTTGGTGCTCTCAGGGCTCTTCATGGTGCACAGGAGGCTGCAGAACAGCTCGTACCAAAAGAAGATGAAGCCAGAGGAGAAGGCAGCCTTCAGCAAGCTGGGAGAGAGGCCCTTGAAGAACCCACCTGGGCCCTCCTCTCTCATCATCTGCCTCACACAGTCCAGGAAACCCCCATACGTCCGTACCTGGGAGAGAAATGCAACAAGGTTAAACAAGAAAACTTCAGGACAACTGGAAAAAACCACAAAGATCCCCAAACTATACCCAGAAACATTATCTTGACATGCAGCTTGGAGAGGCCTTTCTGGATAATATAATAACTAACTGAAACTTTCAGAGAGAGTTTAGAGAGAGCAGGATAAAGGAAATGTACAGCTTCAGCAATGGTTTATGCACATCATTCACTGTAAAATGGCTGTAAAACCTCTGCATGCAACAACAGCCTGACTTTAAAGAGGTTTGTCAAGTCATTATTTCAGATTGCATAATTGCTGTTTTCTATCCCCTTCACTGTCTAAGAAAGAAAAAATGTTGAGTTTTCTGACAGAAAGCAAATACAGCTACAACACTTAGAAGTTTCCAAATTAGCTGTCTGCATGTTGTCATGTTATACTGTGCAGTTTTAACATCTTGTGACACATCAATGCAAGGAACAAATTTTGTATCTTACTGCAGGAGGAAAAGCCCCCAATGCAATGGGCTGAGACATCAAAATCCTATTCAAGAGTTTCTTAGGGTACAGACTGATTTCCTTCTCAGATCTCAAGAATTTTAAGGAAAGTAGAAAATTTCCACATTTCATGGAAAAAAAAGAGGAAGTTCCTTGAAAGATCTATATTTGTCTTCAAGTGTATTTCAAGGTGCTAACAATGGTGCTAAAGAACACCAGAGTATTTAATTTGTTTTGAATTTCAGGCTATTCCCACACATAAAACACATGTTGAACACTTGGTGCCTATTTCTTGTGTCAAAATATTAATTGCAGAAGAGGAGCCTGACAGCCAGGTGACCTCAGCACAGAGCCAGCGTCATCCTCTGCTAGTGATTTGGTTCTGAATCAGAAAAGCCAAGCTGCAACTAGAAAAGTAAAATAAATCAATGGCCCTTTGCATGTCTGATGGGGAGGGATGACAAGCCAGAGCACAGGTATGTGGGACAGGTCCCTCCTGGGACCTATCATAAAATAAACCCAGTATGTTCACGTACAAATTCACATTATTAAATGACACCGGTGCTCACTGGGAGCTCCCAACCCAAACATGAACTCAACAGGTACCACTGGTGGATTGTCACTGCATTCCAGTGCACTGGACTAGCCATAGTCAGGAAAATCCAGCACTTGCAGCATTTCTCACCTGCCCAAAGGCTGCCCGAGCGTGCTCAAAGCCACCCACTTGCAGTCGCTTTTTGACCAGATCCAAAGGGTACGTGAGGCTCTTGCTGAGCACTCCAGCACAGCTGCCACACACCAGGTTCCTAACGCCGGCTGAGGAGCACAAAGGGAAAGGATAACAGGGAGGAAAAAAAGAGCATTATCAAGGAACTCTGATTAAAGAGCATAAGAGGTAAGTTAAAAATCACTTTTCACAAGAAATAAAGTAAAAAAAAAGTCCTTTGAAGTTGCATCACCTCTTCTGCAATAGTTTCAGCCAAAGAGTCTCAAGCTGTATTTTTTCAGGCTTGCAATATCTGTTGGAATCAGAGGATCAGCTCCTCTTGGTCCTTTACACTGACTTAGGGTTTTGCTCTGCTCAATAAACCCCAATCCCCAGTCACAGACAACTTGCTGCCAGTGGATGAAAGTTTTCATGCCCTCCCAGTAAAGCCTGGTCATTGGAAATCTTGCACCCCTGACTGCTCAGGCTGATGCATTCTGGATTGGAATGTCTCAAGCTGACACTGCCTGATGATTTCAGAGGCTTGTGGAAGTGAGCTCTGTATTAAACTTTTTCCTGACAAACATGAGGTCCCAGCACAAAACCACCATCGGCCTCTGCCACCTAAAATTAAATATGCAGACATTGAAAAGTCAAGTTCCTCTGCTGAAGAAATTCCATTGAGGAACAAACTCATGCTGCTGCTGTATCCCTCTTGCTCACAGGAGGCACAGGTATCTAGCACTGCCAAGGTGGCAGATTGCATCAGGATGATGTTCTCTTACAATGGAGCTAGAAATCAACATAAAAATACCAAATCAAGAGCCTGGCAGCTTTAAATTGGAGTAAATGAATCCTCTTCCCTAACAGCTGCAGGCAGATTTACTACAGAAATCCAAGAGTCCTGTCCCCACATGAATGAAACAGAAAGATTATGGCAGCACTGTCTTCCCACAGTATCAGTCAGGTGACACTGTTAAAGAAAGAGCACCTTGGCCTGTGACACTTCACTTTCCCATCCACCCACTTCCATCACAGTTACTGCACAAGGGGAGCTGTTTGTAAACTCTGCTGTACTTAATTTGGCATTTCCCTGCAGGGGTAAAAATGAGAGGTGGGAAATAAGAGACACTTTTCAGATGTTGCATCAAAAAATGTGAAAGGACTAACAGAGCTTACATCAGTCAACCAAACTAGCATTCATCTTCTTTCTCTCCTGACTGCAACCATCACTGTCCCAAGTTCCTACCTCCATTCTTTGCTTCAGCTGGAATCGCCCATTTGGAAAACTGCTGCAGGATGTTGTAGAAGAAGAACTGGAGACCAGCATATGGGAAGACAGCAATGAGTGTGGGGGTCAAACCTCTGTAGAAAGTCCCAGGCCCTTCTGTCTGGTACATGGTCACCACTGCATGGCGAAGGTTGAGGTAAATCTGCACAACAAGGAAGAGGCTGAGTGACTTTTCAGTGAACTTAAAAACACCCAACCAAAGGTCAGGTCATTTCCCAGTAATGGCTATAGGAATTCCCCTGCCCAAAATACAACTGACTGTATCTTCAGCACAAAGTGATGAGCAAGGTGATTTTCCACACCCTCACAGCATTCTCTGTTAGGCCCTTGTGACTTAAAAGAAACAAGGCATGGAGCGGAGTCCTGAGACCACCTGCATCACAGATATAATTATTTTTCTTTTAACAATTCCTAACTCCTGCAACACAATTAATACAATACATACTGTAATTCTACTGCAGGCTAAATACAGAAATGGCTCTGATACAAATCTATCCCATTATTACAGAGCTAGTTAGTGCAGAGACCAATTCTCGTGTAAAAACAACATGAAGCACAGGTGAAACGTGACTAATTTCAAGTATCATCCCCATCATTATCTAAACATGACTCTCTGCCTGTGCAAAGTTTCAAAAATGCAATGTTCAACAGTCTGGGCAGCAGGTTCTATAAAAAGCCAACAGCCAAAGCAAAAAAATTGAGTTATCCTGTTAAGGGCAGTTTCTCCTTTCTGCATCAGAAGCACCAAAACACAATTAGGAAAGCTGTGTCAACAGCACGAAGGATAACTTGGCAACAGAGCAAACATTGGCCATAACAGCACCTGCTCCTTCATTTTAACCCACAATGCTGAACGTGCTTTCAAACCTCCTGCACCTTCAGAGCTGTGGAATATTGCCCCTGCTGAGGATGCCGAGATGGATCGCTCAGCCTCACCTTTGGCTCCCCCTGGGCAGCGAAGCGGGTGCGCAGCGTGTCCACGGGCTGCACTGCCACCGAGGCCGTGCAGGCAGCCAGGCCCCCGCACACCAGGTGCACCAAGGAGTCCTGGGCTTTGAAGGAGGTGAAGTTGTGCATCAGCTCCGTCAGACTCTCGAAGGTCATGAACTTGCAGAGAAACAAAAGAGCGCGGGTCAGGAAGCCGATGCTAATGACTCACACAGGTTTCCCACTCCTCTCTCATTTCACCAACAGCTCCACCCCTCCCCGCTTGTTACCACCTTCTTCGTCCTTCAAAAGTCCTCCCCAACTTGCAACGTGTAAAAATCACTAAGCAGCCCAAGGAATGCTTGGGATACTCTGGTGTCCAACACTTCTGCTTATTCTTGCACTTAGAATAATGAAAAACTCATTTTAATGTTCTGTGGCTCCAGAAGAGTGCTGTGTCACAGATATGCTTTCCTTTGTCCTTTCAGCCACTGCTCCTAAAGCTGTTACTCATGTTTACAAATTAAACATAACAGTGCTGTGTAAAACACCCTCATCAGCTTCACTGATTTTTTCCTAAGAAGCCCTTAGGCTGACAGCATGACTAGAAGCAAAAAACTGCCCAGGCTTGGGGCATGAGCAGCTAAGCCAAATGTCAGGAATAGGGAGGGCTTATCTATGACACCAGAGACAGACAGAGCTCAGTTTGCTCTTGCTGTGCTCCAGTCTATTCAGCCAGCTCAGGAACAGTAACTTAGGAATTATTCAGCAGCTTTGTAGAGCTATATGTTCCCGCTCCTGAACACAGACAGTCAGAGGGAGCAGAGCAGTGTCCTGTGTACCCACAGTGTGCCCAGGTGATGCCTGGTGCCCTCACCTGAACAGCTCCGAAGCCGACAGAAAGGATCTGAGCGGGGACATGGCCCTTCCAGAAGGCTGTCAGCCCCTCCTCCCGGAAGATGCGCTGCACAGCTTGCAGCATGCCGTGGTACTTGGCCGTGGGGTTTCTGGAGGAGAGCTGCTCGATCTGGAGCTGGAGGAAAGGGGAGAAAATAATTTCAATTTCACCCTTCAACACTGGTTCAAGTGTCAGTTCAGGAATTCACAACCCTGTCAGCCAGCCAATGCTAAGGGATGACATTTTGTCTTCCCACAGAACCACATTCAGATCTGACTGGGATGTTGTTTATGAAGGGCTCTAAAAGAATAAAAATGTACATGAACACAAAGATAAGCAGGAGGGATGATGGTGAAATTCAGTCAGAGAGTGTAAGTCGTTCACAAAAATAGAAGGAGAACGAACTCTGAGAAACACAAGATTCCATTCCCACACAAGTTAAGTTGTATAAATAGAAGTGGTGGACACAGGATAGCCCTACTTCCTTGCATAACCTATACACAACGTAGGTGAGGCCTGACGAGGGATTCAGTGCTCTCTGGTTGCACAGGTGACCTGCTCACCCAGGACACGATCAGCTCTGCCGCTCTTTCATCCCGGCCCCGGGCACGCCGCGAGTGAGGTACCTGAAAGCGGATCTTGAGGACGTCCAGGGGGCTGACAAGGACCCGAGTGACCAAGCCAGACGCCGATCCTGCTACAGCCGCTTCCGCCGTGGACACGCACCTGCCTTCGGGGTCGTAGCCCACCATGCCTGCCGGCTGTGCCCAGCCTGGACAGGGGCACAGAGCAGTGAGCCCCGCCCTCACCGAGCCCCCACCCCACAGCCCCCTCACGCCAAGGCCCACAGCCCCTCCTCACCCCAAACTCCCTTCTCACCCCACGGGACACACAGATGCCCCTCTGCATCACTCCCTCTGTCCCGCAGCTCCCGGCCCCGCCAGCGGCAGCCACCAGCGGGGGGACCGGACCGAGCCGAGCCCGGCGGCACCGGGGCTGTCCGGCCCTGGCCCGACTCCCGCCGCGCCGCCTCACGCGCGGCCGCCCGCTCCACACTGCGCCTGCGCGCCGAGGGGGCCGCTGGGAGATGCAGTCCCGGCTACGGCGCCCACAACACGCGCGGGACGCGGCGCTCACAGAACCGCGTCCCGGTAGGGCTGGACAAGCCCTCAGACCCTGGAGTCCAACCTGCGAGCCAACACCACCCTGTCAGCCAGACCATGGCACTGAGTGCCACATCCAGTCTTTCCTTAGACACCCCCAGGGACAGTGACAGCTCCCTACGCCACCCGTTCCAACGTCTGATCACCCTTTCCATGAAGAAACTCTTCCTGATGTCCAACCCAAAGCTCCCCTGGTGCAGCTTAAAGTTATGTCCTTTCACTTGTTACCTGGGAGAAGAGCCCAACTCCCACCTGGCTGCACCCTCATACCAGGGAGCTGTAGAAAGCAAAAAGGTTCTGCCTGGACCTTCTCCAGGTTGAACAAGCCCAGCTCCCTCAGCCAGCCCTGCCTCATCGCACTTGGATCCAGAGTCCTCCCCAGCTCTGCTGCCCTTCTCCGGTCCCACGAGGCAGGGCTGTGAGAGGGGAAGGTCAGCACACAGCCCACACTGCCCTCAGCACTGCTCCCACTGCCACCTCCACCATGCACAACCACAGACCAACAAACCTTGTCTGGATAAAGCACAGGGGAATGAGATTTTCTAAGCAACCCAGCCTACAGTAAAACATCACTTCAAGCAATATGTTCTGCTACAGCATTGCAAAAAAAGCCAAGCGCTTCAAACCACATAGTGGCTTTTCCATACTGACTTCTGGTACAAAAAAGTAAAATAAAGAATTGTACAAGTATCCAGGCATTTCCACCTCAACATCATCAGTATTTAAACATAGTAACTAAGGGCAACTGCTTAAAAACCACTAAAAACTGCCATGTAGGCCTTTTCCTATTCTCTGTTAACACTGACTACACCATTCATGCTCACAGGTATTTCTGACCATGTCAAAGGCTGAGGAGAAGCTGCAGAGAGCTGCCCATGCACCTTGTTAGCCCAACAGAGCCATTCTTCTTTAGGTAACAGAAGTGAAAATAATCTGCAGGGCCCGTATGGAGCAGATTCAAACCACAACAGCCTGAGCCTGGCTGCTGTGCTGACACCAGCCCAACACCACCTCCTCCTTTTAGCAAAAGGCTCCAGAAGTGTCTGAACCACAAGCTCAGTCACAGCTTAGTCAGTTGACTGAAATAACAGACAGATGCTCAAGTGAAGAATTCAATGTATATTTATTATTCACAGTTAATTACTATCTACCAAATGCTGCTGCAGAGTTAAAGGATTAAGTACATAGGCCTTTTTTTTTATTTAAACACAGAAAAATTTTTTAATATATATACACACACAAGACATATGTCTGCAAGGCTGCATGATATACACCAATTCCAAAATAAGGAAACAATCAAATGGTCCAGGTGTAGAATGCCATAGATTCCTTTTCCAATCACTTTACAAAGTGGGAAGAAAGTGAGTGACAGCTAGCAAGGAGAGGGGGAAAAAGTAATACTCTACAGGGTAGCTCTCTCTTTCATTTGCTGGAAAATCAAAGTGTAAGGCAGAGTTCATCTCAGGAGTAAAACTTTTGTAACACTTACTACAAAAAAAGGCACCCTCCAACAAAAGATTGCCCATGCTGAGCAGGGCGGGAGGAGATCTCCGCTGCAGGTTGGGTGTGTTGGTGGGGTGAAGGGATCCAGCCAAACGGCCACCAAGGGAAAAACAACGCAACTGAAGATTGGCACAGAGAGCGCTGCGGGCTGATTGCTTTCCTTCTGTCCAATTTAATGTCACACTGCTCTGGTGAGGAGCAAAGGGCCACCAGAAATGCCCTGGGGTACAGGGTGGGGAGAACAGTCACACACAGCCTGCTGTGAACGGGAGCGGGCGGGGAGCTACTTCAACAGGAACACTGACCTGAGGAGGGAGGAGAGACTGGAGAACAGGGATGCCAACTCCACTTCTCAAGAGCAACACGACTGCAAATACTGCCTATCCAGGCCGAGGAGACAGGCTGATCACATGCATCACGTAGAAACATTCACTAAGAGCGTAAAGTTTTTTTTCAAGCACTATTTCTTGAGGTTTCTCTGCATTATGAAGTTTTCCACCAAAGGAATGTACATTTTGTAGGACATCTCAGGGCTATTATTTCTCAAATTCCCCCCTTAACCCTCCCTCCCCAAAATATTCTTCCTCATTTTCCCTCATCAGAACTTTCCCCTTTCTCTTACTTCTTTTGAGGCTCCTGGTTGCAGCTCTTCACCTCTGAGCAGCCTAAGTTGCCACTTGAATGCCTTGATTTTATTTTCCTTGGAATAAGGGAAGTTGAATAGTAAGACAAATCTGAAGATTAAAGCTCCATCTCTGTTTGTAGATTTTTCTCAAGTGTCCATTGATAAAACCACCCTCCTTTGCCCCCTTCCCCCATAGTATTTATTTACACATAGGCAGAAAAAAAAATCCTCTGAAAAGCTCTGGACTGTCCTTTTAACTTAAAAAATAATAAAAAAGAAAATAAGGGGAAGGCACTATGGAAAAAATTACAGAATGTGCTCAACCGTACACCTTTAAGAAAAAACAAAAAAGCTGTCAGCACAGCATTAATAGACTTCAGTTGTACGTTGGAGTTTCTCAAAGCAGCTCTGTGACTCAAAAGTAAAAAAGAGAACAAAAAGCCACACAACTCTTCTCCCTTCCTCTGTTTGGAAGCTGCTGAGCTTCAGAAGAAAGTGCCAAAGGAGAAGAGACAATAAAAATTAGATTAACACCTCATCTTTCCCAGGCAAGAAATGCTGAATGTTGAAGGCAAAAGCAGAAACTGATGATTTTTGTTTTTTTTTAAAGGCAGGACTGTGGATTTGGTTCTTCTCTCATGTCCCTTCATGTCAAATGAAGACCGTTTGCAGAGAGAGAAAATACCAGCAGAGTTTCTCCCTTTTCCTTTAACTGCATTGGCTAGGACTTTATATGGCATTAAAACTTCATGCACTGATGGACAGAAGAGGAGGGGGAAACAAGAAGAGTTGTGGTGGTGAGACCTTAAGTGACCTTAAAACACTCATTCGCAACAAGAGTGAATAAAAGGGGATAACCCAGGAGCAGCTGAGGAAATTTGTTATTTTCATTTTTTTTCTCTCTCTCCTTTTTTTTATTTTCCTTTTTTTTTTCCTTTAAGATAAGTTTTGGTGTGTAAGTTGAACTCTTCCCCCCGCCCCTGAAGTTCCGCTCTGAGGGAAGGAGGATCACCTCACGGTGACAGGTGACTCTGGTTTTACCGCCGTGTGATGTTTGGGTCACTGGCTGCAGTTAGGCTCTGTATGTGTATTTACTGTTTCTCTGGTTTCCTTAAATAATCTCTAATATTTCTCTCTAGATGTTCCGGTTCACTGGGGTCACGTAGTTGCGAGGGAACATGCCCGTCTGTCCGCGGCACGCTCCCTTCCACCAGTTGGGGTCAGAATTGTCAAGGACTTGGATAAAGTCTCCGCGATGGAAGCCCAGCTCTCCTTCCTCTTGGGGATCAAAATCAAACAGGGCCTGAACGTATGTTGGTTGCTGAAAGGGGAACAAGAAACACACACAGTGAGAATCACCCACGGCACTCCAGGCACCTGCTCCTGCGGGGCAGAAGCTGTCTTACACTGAAGATTAACAATAAACATTTGGGCTACTCCCTTTTCCTGCAAGCCAGCTCCCAACAGCTGCAACGAGGTGCTAAAACAGTCATGGACAGGCTATAGAACACCTCAGAAAAAGGTCAAGTTCCTGTGAAACAGCTGAAATAGAGCAGATGATTCTGATGTTTTTCTAGCATTTTTCACTTGTCATGGCCTATCGTAAATCCGTGTTCTATAGCAATACAGTAATATTGATGTTTACTTGTCCTGTTTTCATAATTGACAACACAAATATTATTGATCTACACAAAGTTCCCCCTAAAAACTGGATGTTGACATTTTACACATTTTCCCTAACTCTTCTGTCACAGATGATTTGGCCTGGTCAGCAAGTCTTTCTTTCTGATGGAAAAGCTAACAGTTCATTTAAAATACATTTGCAGTCTTAAAATCGTGAGGCCAGGAAGTTCTGTTCATGCTTGTCCTTTTCAGCCAGCTCTTTTCTCCCCCTCTGTTTATCCCTGACCTGACCGTGCAGAGCCAAGTGTTAAGTTCAGACAAACTGTGACAAAGCTGCCAGTGGCACCTGGACAGCTGCACAAATGCCACACCCTTGTCTTTGGGCTAGAAGCAGAATGCCGTACAAGGAAGCAAAAGGATTTACCCAGAACTGACAAAACATGCAGTTACATGAAATACAACACTCTGATTGACCTGGGAAATGGAACAAAATACAGAGCTGGATATACACAAGCTGCTCTGCTGGCACTTCACAACAGTTTCTCTTTACACTGGCTAGATCCAAACCAGAGATGCTCCATATGCTGTAACCACCTCTTCAGGAAAGCCCAGTATCAAAGCCTCACTGAGGGCTGCACTTTGGCTATGATCAGGTATAAATCAGAACAGAATCACAGAGTTCTTTAGGCTGAAGAAGGCCTAAGATCAGCAAGTTCAACCATAAAGCCATAAGTTCCCTTCCCTTTTAAACTGTGCCCTATAACAGGAGCAAATCTATTTTTAATTCACAGGAATCAAATTATCTTCCTGCAACAGAATCTGTAAGTATTAAAACAAGACAAATATTCAAGCAGTAACAATCATTTTGCCTCAACTCCAGGGAGAGCAGGAGTGTTGGTAGGCTTTGCACAAGAATGCAGCTTATTTACCAGTAAAATTTTGACTGCAGGATCTAAAGATACACTTTCACAAGAAAAAAAATCAGTCAGCTTCTTTCTTACTCTAAAATGCAATCCCACTTCAGACTGTGGTTGCAATTGCCTGACCAGGGCACTCTACAGGGACACTTCCCTTACCTGTGGCACCTGCTCAATGTCCCGGAGAAATATTT